ATGGCCAACCAATCATATTTCTCATAGAGCCTTAATCTTTCTCAAAAAGGCATCTCCCTATTATAGAACAATTCTTTTAGGACACAAATGTTATTGTTCAGTTCAGTTAAACCTTCTCTACATTTGTCTTAATAAATTCATGAAAAAATATTATTTTAACAGAGTTTTAGACAAATCCAGGATTAGGGATCCCTTACTCATTATACTAGCTACTTTGTGTTTATTTTTAAAGGGAATTTTTACTACGAGGGTTGTATCTCTCCAAAAGGGAGCCATACATGTGGAAATCAGGGAAACTCATTAGGGGGCTGATGCTTTTTTGTAGAGGGATTCAGTAGGCTACTGTTCTTCACATGCTGTATGTAGACTCTTTTCTCTCTTCTATTTTATTCAATTTTTATTTTTTAACCTGAGTGAATCATGTGGTATGAATAGGAACCCAATATAAAGCAATTAAAACTACTGTACTTGAAGTCAGGCTGGAATTCTCAGAATCCTTCTCTCATGCCTTCTTCCTTCTCCTCCCCTTTCCCCTTTTCCCCAGGTAATGTACATTTTCACAAGTATCCTCTTAAAATTATTGCATAGACTGCCCCTTAATACTCAGACAATTCCAATGCACTCACAGAACATTTTGTATATATGCATGCATATGTCCATAGGCACAGCTGCCTTTTAAAATCTACACAGGCCGGGCGTGGTGGCTCATGCCTGTAATTCTAGCATTCTGGGAGGCTGAGGCGGGTGGATCACTCAAGGTCAGGAATTCGAGACAAGCCTGAAGAAGAACAAGATCTTGTCTCTACTAAAAATAGAAAGAAATTAATTGGCCAAATAAAAATATATGGAAAAAATTAGCCAGGCATGGTGGCGCATGCCTGTAGTCCCAGCTACTCGGGAGGCTGAGGCAGCAGGATTGCTTGAGCCCAGGAGTTTGAGGTTGCTGTGAGCTAGGCTGACGTCATGGCACTCTAGCCTGGACAACAGAGTGAGACTCTGTCTCAAAAAAACAAAAACAAAAACCTACATATACCCTATTGTGTCCAAGTGGTCCATTTACTACCTTGTACCTTCACTGTGGACCCTCTTAGAGATCCATACACCACCATGCTTAGTCCTATCACCAAATCTGAAATAGATAAAGAAGAAAATAGAATTTTTACAAATGCAGTTAATGATGTTTCTATGTGGTAAGTACAACAAGTGAATGTGTAAAAACATCTACTGTTACATTTCAAAGAAAGCTTGAAATTATCTTACTGAGTTGTTTCATGAAAAACTGATCTAGCCAATTATTTAAAGCCCCAAATGAACTTAGTGGATTAATCTCTTGGATGATATTGTAATCTACCCATACCTTCATGATTTGATTGAATTAAACTTGAATATGTCAGAAAAATGGTTTCCTTGTATTTGCATTAAAAACATAATGGAGACGATCTTTTGTTAAACTATCATCTGTATTAGGTTTAAAGTTTTTCTTTGTACTGTTTTAAATATATATGTCATAATTCTAAGTGAATATTTGGTTTGTATTCACAATAGGATTTCTAATACAGGGCCTTTATGATCTTTGCTGCTGTTATTTCCCTCTTCTGACCTGACTGGTTTTGAGGGCCAGTCCTGACTATAGAGTTTTAGTTTACCCTTTTCTGAAGAAGGCTACTCCTCTTTGGAGAATGTTGTTCTGAAGCTCAATGACTCACATTAATAGTGGGGAAGATGGGAACATCTATCTACCCAGCTCAGTCACTCAAATAAGATAATAAATAGGACAAAACAGTTGCCACAGTTAGTGGACACTCATATATGAACATAGCCTTATTAAATTAAATTTACTTTATATAAATTCAAACATACAGTATTCTAATATTGTCTATGTGACTTTAATTCATCTCCTATATCAGCCCAGGAAGCCAAATCAAGGCTTCCTACCCATATAAAGTCAAAAGGCCAAAATAAATAAGCAACTCAAAGCAACCCAAAACAAAACAAAATCCTACGATATTCCAGGAAGCCAAATAATGTCTTCTTATGCAAATAAAGGCAAACAGCAAAAATAAAACAAACAAAAAACTATGTTTAAATCAGAATGGCATAGAGGAAATCTCATTTTTTAAGCAACCAGTTTCTTCTCTCCCATGTTTACCCTAATAAATAGGTGAGTTGGACTACTAGTAATCAAGAAATTTTAGACATTGGCTTTGATGATGCTTTTCAAACACACATTGATACACTACAGCCAGGGACTTCATATGTATTCTAGTCTTTAGACTTTTCTGGAGTGGATAAAGGATTCTTGCTGGACATATGGGCATTTGGTAATGGATAGGGCAGTTCATATAGAATTAAAGTTCATTTCCTTTGGAACTTTTTCCTTTGACATTTTATTACTTGGAACAAAATTCTACAGTAATAGCTTACTTTGTACCAAGTGCTATGCATGGGCTATTCTATCTATTCCTCCCTACAACGTTTTGTTTTAGGTATGTGAAAAACTGAGGTTTGGAGAGTGTGTTAATCAGCCCAGGCTGCCATAACAAATACCATAGACTGAGTGGCTTTAAACAACAGAAATTTATATTCTCACAGTTCTGGAGGCTGGGAAGTCCAAGATCAAGGTGCTTGCAAATTTAGTTCCTGATAAGGGCTCTTTTCCTGGCTTGCAGATGGCTGTCTTCCTGCTGTGTCCTCACATGGTAGAGAGGGAGTTCTCTGCCATCTCTCCTTAAAAGGGCACTGATTCCATCAGATCAGGTACCTACCCTTATGACCTCATTTAACCTTAATTACTTAATTAATTAACCTCCTTATAGGCCCTATCTCTAAATACAGTCATATTGGAGTTTAGAGCTTTAATGAATGAATTCTGGGGGGTACTCAATTCAGTCCATAGGCTCTAAAGCAGCAGAGCCAGGATTCGAATCCAAGTAGTTTGGCAATGAAACCCTGCTGTCAACCCTTGTAAGATTCTTATGGATGATTGCAAGGTTGGCCCACTTTGTCTTGTAAGCCTTCCTTCCTTTCTTTCCACGTTTCACACTCTAGGCATGTCCCTCTTACCCACCTCTACCAAATCATCTTATGTTTTAGCCCCTCAGGGTTCATCTGATTTGTACTAAAGATTAATTCTTTCCAAGAGTATTTACATATTTATGAACAAAATGCTCTAAATAAGAGGAATGTTCCCCTCCCTTCCAAAAAATGGAATATTAGCTTTTGGAGCACATGGCAGATATATTTTTAAAGAGATTCTGTCCTTATCTCTCAGATCACTCCTAAGGGAAAATTGTAGCCCTTTGGAATATGAGCTCATAGTAAATATATTCCCTATCAGTTTTTTCTTCTTTAGTGGTGCTTCAGAACAATAGTGTTGAATTCTTTTTGTTTAACATCTATGACTTCTACCCTTTTCTTTTTATTCACATTTATTGAACAACTTTTATATGTAGGACAAAGTATAAATTTAAAGATAAGAGATGACTCTTGCTCTCAAGTAAACTAGGAGAAATTAGATATTAGCAGAGAAATATACTTGCATACAATTAACTATAATGTGTTAAATCTCAAAAAGATCTGAAAAAGATACAAGATTTCAGAGAGTGAAGTCAGACAAGAACATGGGATTCTTTTTATTTTATTTTATTTTATTTTGTGGACAGTGAGACACTCTTGAAATCTTTGAGTATGTATGTAGCTTGATCTGATTCAATTTCAGAATCACCTCTCTAAAATAAAGGGGAGATTGAAGAGGAAGAGAGTCCAGTATATTATTGTCCAGTATTATGATTGTCTTAAGGTCAGTCCTAAAAAAAGAGAAGTTGTGAACAGTGGAATATCTTTGTAACTCAAGGGTTTGGTGTTTGGACGTCATGTTCCCATTAAAAGATTAGTTTCCCTGCATTTTATCAAAATGGACACTTTTGATCAGGATGATATTAAAAATATTTAATAACTGGTATGACATAGGCCCTGACAATTAGAACATAAAACACACCAATGCAAATAGCCCAAGTCATAAATATATAATCAACAGGTGTGATCACATGATATGTGTTGGCCGAATGTCAGACTTGCCTTTGACTCTGGTTTTATACCCATGGATTGCATGATTTGAAAGATTCTACTCATTAAACACAGTTCATAAATTAAATAATAAATAATTTGCTTCCCGATTTCTTAATTTAATGGTAGATTTCTATAATTTACAGCAGCTTAAGATGAGTACAACAATGAATTAATGCAATTTTAGTACTCATCTATAAAAGTAGGTGTGTTAGTTGGCCTATGTGGCCTTATATTAGGCAAATGTATAATTTCCATTTAGTGTCTTAAAATATTAAAAATATTTACCTAACTTTATGTGACTTTCAGGGAACAGTGGATTGCCGTCCTCCATTAATAGTGTTAATTTAAGTTACATGCCTCATAACCTGGAAATGTTTATAAAATCAATCTCTCTCTTTATATATATATATATATATGTATATATATATATATACACATACATACATATATATGTAAAATATATATAAACACATACACATAAATGTAGTTTTGTATCTATCTATATATAAATATATTTTTCACATTCATGTCTTTATAATTGATGTACTCTTCAGTTACCAAAGTTATTTATCACTCTCTTTTGCCTTACACATTAATGTTACCCCCCTGGCCCCTGAAAACTTTGTTTGTAATCCCCGATTTAGATCATTATATGTTTTTGGAGATATCATTATGCCCATGTCATAATCCAATTCCAGTATAGTGAATCATGCAGTGATAAGATTTTTAAAAATTTCTATATTGGATCCAACTTTTGAAGCACTGTTAATTCAATCTTATTATTTACATTTGGCTAGTTCTGCTTGAGTTGAATTCACCTTGACTTCCAATATACACACATTCCACTTTAGTTCCAATATTTTCTAACTCTTTTAAATTCTAGTTTTGACTTTCAAAGATTTAAAAAACACATTTGACTTTTTTTGTGCCATATAAAACTTCTCTTTTTGACTTTTGTTTTGATTCTTCTTTTTACTTACCTTCCCTACTCCTCCCCTGAAACCAGTTCTTTCGAAACTACCTGCCCCTGTCTCTGCCCTTCCCCTCCCAAAAAGCACCTGTGACCTTGAGTACTTTGTGGTGGTAGTGTCCTTGACCCATATGCACATGCAGGCACCCACTGGCAACAGCCACCTTGGTTTGTCTGCCATGTTCCTGCCCCCTCCATTCCTCCCAGGGACCTCTTTCTGATGGCTACAGCAACATGCAGTCTACAGACACCATCACACCCTAAATGTGCTGGCTTTTCCTTCTCCTTGTAAAGATGATGGGCAATTTCAGTAAGGACAAAGTAGTCCTTAAGGGCAAGCAAAAGAATGCTGAATGGTTATAACTCAAGTGGCAGCTACAGTGTCTTTTTGATGAACACTAATGAGCTAGAGTATATTTGGGGAAAGTACATTACAAGGTCTTCCCGAAAGAATGTCATGACCACACCTGTAATTCTTGCTTATGTTCACAAAGAACTGAATGTCCTCATATCCTGACTTTTGCATTGCACTGCCAATATTAACTAAGAGAATGGATGGGAAACAAATGGCAGAACTTGGGGAAGTTTTTCTTTCTTCTTTAAAAAAAAAAAAAAAAAACGGCAGATGGTGTTTTGAACACAACTTGCCATAGAATATGAAAGCATAAAGTTTTGGCTGTGTGAGGGGGGAAAAAGAAGTTGATTTTTTAAACTGTAAAAATTAGCTTGAGGTTGTCCCAGGAGTTTAAAGGGAAAAAAAAAAAAAACATTTAGAAATGGGAGTGAACTGCAAGATAGGGTTTGTGTAACAAGTACCTCAAACCACAAAAGTCACATGGGCTCTTTCTGCTTTGCTACTTTTGATTACTTGTCAGAGGGTTGCGCTTTGAGCTTCCCCCATCCTGCAAGGCCACTCAACCATGTGCTAACTGGAGTAATCTTTATTCACAATGTCTTTGCAAAGGCTAGTGCAACAGAGCAGCAATGGCAATTTGTTGGACTACCGCGCTGGTCCAGCGTATAGCTCTTACCCCACACTCACCGGCAGCATTACGATGGACGATAACAGAAGGCTTCAAATGCTGACAGACACAGTGGCTACTTTGCCGCGGGGACGAAAGCAGGTATGATTACTGTTTTGTAACTCTTTGAGTGTTCTTGTTCTCCTGAGAGCGGAGTGACATGTTTGTCCAATTCATACTAAAAACATTATTGTAGAAGCTTTGGATTTAGGGACAAAGCATGGGTGAAGGGCATGAGATGCCCAGAGAGCTAGTGGACCAGTCCAGAGATTTGAGACCACAATCAAAACATTTTTTTTTCAAGGCAAAAATTAAGATTGTTTTTGTCATTTGGAGACGTACTCAGATAAAATGAAAACCATTAATCATAACAAATTTGAAGATGGTTTATATAGATACAACCAGGATGAGAATTATTGATTTCCTCTTTATGTCTCCATTGAGTCTTACCTTCTCATCCTCACTCCCAGGCCTTGATAGTGGGTTCATAATCAAATGAGAAATACTTTTTTCTTGAGGAAAAATTTTGTTGACAAAGTTAGTTATCTTCGGCTCTAGGACACTGGCATGTACCTCCTGCTAATGGAGAATAAGGCACTTTTGTATAGGCAAGTGCCAGATTGACTATCACCTCACTGCTTAGGAGCTGTGGGATCTTGAGCAAGTCATTTGGCTCCCTAAGCTTCAGTTTTCCTTTTGCTAAATTGGAGATAATAATAGAACTACTCGTATTGGGCTCTTGTGCTGATTAAGTAAGGAAATGTGCAATGCCTAACACAGTGACTACCCCTAGTATGCGTTCATTAAAGGCTAGATTATGCTATGTAAACATTTTTATTGAAAAGTATTTCTCTAGGGATAAAAACTCATTTGGAAAATCCATGTCTAACTCAATTTATTTTGATTGTTTTGGTTTTTCAATTTCTAATATGTAAATAAAAGTTTAACCATAATACCTTTTCAGGTTTTGCTTATATAACTTGCTATTAAACCCCAAGTACATATTTGAATTTAGATATAGCACTTGTCCAGAAAATATTTAGAATTGCTTTAGAGTATGAATTTTTGCCCTTACATTTTGCGTGTACATCGTGTGCTCCTTTTAAGCCTTGTATTTTCAGGATTAGAGAATTATCTCATAGTGGGAGAATCACAATCTTTTTCGAGTAATGCATGTAGCTGATTCCTTGGTATTTTTCATAATGAAGTTAAGGGCCTGATTTGCCATGATTTGGATTATCGATCTTTCTCAATCCAAAGCGCTTTTATGATGCAAAGTTAAATGGAATAATGAACATTTCTATCAGTCTACACAACCTGTCTGAAAATAAAGCAACATGAGAAATACCAACGTCTTAATTCACTTTTTAGATTTACAGCAGTCAGTTTTTCAATTTGCCATGAAGCTATCACAATAATTATGGTTCACTTGGTTAGGCTACGATTTCATTCTTTTGGTAGAATGCTTACTGCTAAAGATAGTTGGTAATATTTGAATCAAGATGGGAACTTCCCTTCCTTTATGCCCTCCACACCTGCAGCCTTGGCAATTTCCCTTATCTACTCTTCAGCCCAGGCATTTCAATGCAAGAGATAGTTTCTGAGCACCTACAAGGGCACAGACCTCATGCTAAGCATAGTAGGTACAAAGACTACCAGAGCATGTGTCCTGCCCGTCTAGGGTCTACAATTCAGTAGGCAGTATGCATGGGTGTTACACAAAGTAAAACACCATGAATACGCTCATCCAAGTGAAATGTCTTTGAATATGGCCTTGAAAGACAGAGATATTCCAGATATTGAAGGGTATTCCAGAGCAAGGGAATAATAAATGCTGAGGCACAGGTCTTGGTGCCTTGAGAGCATGTTTGTGCAGTAGCAGAATATTAAGGGTGTCAGGAGGACACAGGGAGTGTGTAGGAGGTGATAAGAGACCTGAGAGCCAGGCTGCTTTGCAGAACACTTGAACAACTTCCCCTGAAAAAGCAGCAATGTAACCCGCACAGAGAGCCACTGAACATGTTTGAGCAGTAGAGGATTTTAGGAACCTTATTCCACAAATGTGGTGGGTTGGTAAGTGAGTACTAGTGAGACTAGTGGTGAGGGAGAAACTTTTGCAGGAGTTGGAGAAAGAGAAAATGGGGGAACAGAGAGGAGACTGAAAGACTTTAATATGAACGGCATTGAAGATGGAGGAGTCACATCTGGTTTTAAGCCAGAGTGAAGACAGCATGAACTGAAAGAAGGCAATTAGTAGGGGAGGTGATTATTGGAGGAAGATAACGAGAGGAATGTAGACATATGAAATGCATGTGTGTGTTCCTGCATGTGTACATACACAGATACTTTCCCATACCAATTAATTTATGCAGATGTTCTATCTTTTCTAGATCTTCTCTGATCTTCTCTCTTCTTTCATATTCTTTCTCATGGCAGACTCTCCCTATTCAAACAGCTTTTTCTTATTGTTTTGAGAATTGCTTTAAAAAAAAAAAGCAAAACAAAACTTCTTGTACATGAGATTTCTGATTCTGTACAATTATCATCAATAAGACTTGATGCAAGTTTATCCCAACATTTCAGAATCTTCCAAATAGATGTTCATTTTCTTTAACTGGTTTTTAGAAAATAACCACCCATTTGACACTGAGCAAATTGCAGGCAACGAGATCCCAGTGAGGCAATCGCCTGAGCAGGTGTTTCTGTGCCTACTGTTATTGTCAACATTTTCAGGCCTGACGTCCACAATTCATACTTGTTGCTATTGTTGGCTTTGGTTTCTGCAAAGCTGTATCTGGTTAGCCTGCAGTTTTAAATTAATCTTCAGAATCAATTGGGTGTTTACAATTATTTAAAAATAGATTTCTGTGTGTGCATGTTATCTCAATACCTGCATTTGTGGGAGGAAGTGTCAGACGCCCCAGTATGGCTTCTACTTTTGGACATAGTTTTAGGGGCAAACAATCCCTGTAATGGAAAACTCTGTAGGAAGGAGACGAGAGGAAATAAGAACAGTCTTTTATGATGCCAACGGAGTAGTGCTTGTGCCTTACCACCCACTCCAGCGAGGGTTCTACATTGTCTTTGGAAAGCAGTTTTACAGAATGCCATAGTGAGACCCAAGCACCTGGCAACCAGGCAAGGAGCTTAACTGAGTATGAGTAGTACCTCAATAAAATTAGGCAATTAGCGTTGCCTAATTATGACTTCAAATTATGACTTCATAGGCAACTTCTGGAAGGATGATTTCCCTTACAGGTTTGATAGGGAATTTGTGCTGAACTCTGTGACGTGTGCATTGCTGGGACAGGCTCTGTCCCCAAGGAGCGTTCACGGGGTCTCTGGCAGTGCACCCGTCAGGTGCCTTAACTCATGTGTTCCTAACAGCACCAAGGGATCTTAATCATTGAATGATGCTTTCAGGTAGAAAACTGTGTTAATATCACACAAAAGCACTTGAAGAGTATTCTTTAATCCATATTGTGGCATACTTGAAGTCAGCATCCAAAAACTTCTTGAAAAAAAGGTCCATGAGCTCACAATGAGAACTTCCTTGGAAACTGCTACATTCTTTTTAGGTTCCTTAGGGGCACTTACAAGTTAGGAAGTAGGGTTCAGCTGTATTATTTTGTTGCCTCTTTGAATAATCTGTGGAGCCTTGCTATCCTAATCCTCTTGACTTAAAAGGCGAGGTCAGGGGTGGGAGGAAGGAGGGACTGTATGCATTCAAGAACTGAGGAGCCAGGCAGGGGACTGGAAGGGAGCAGAGTGCATAATTTGGGGGCTTTTGAAACAAACAACAAAAACAAACACCTTACTTGTGCATCAGTATCCTCCCTTTCTCCCCCACCCCGCCTGCCGTCCCCACCCAGCACTTTCAGGAAATGAGTACTGAGAGTGGAGACCAGGAAGTAACAGTCTGTAATTTAGCAGAAGTAGCTACAGTGTTGAATTCTGAGCTTCTCTGAGGAGAGCTTGCTGTCTGGCTGGCTGCAGATCGCGCCTGTTCCACAAATGGACAGCTGAAGTGTTTGGTCTTGGGTTTTGCACTAAAGAGGGACATGAGGAATCACTGAATAGCAGAAGAAATTACATTTTGAATATTAATGCTTGATCTTTTGAGTCATCTGACTCAAAACAGAAGAAGAGCAATTGTAAATCTAATGCAGATATCGTTATCTTATGGCTAGCAAGGAGTTAAGGAGCTTTGTCTATTCAGCAGTCATAATTGAATGTGTAGTTTGCAAGCCTGCCAAATTGCTAAACCTAGATTTCTCATATTAGATAATGTGTAATAAAAGACAGCTGTTGCCAGCATATGCTGTGGATTGCACACCAGTTCCCCATTCATGGTTTTCGGTGCCATCACTACAACCCCGAGGAAAGGCTGTGGCTGAGAGGGCAGCCTGGGAAACATGAGGCTCCCCTGGTCAGATCCCGGAACAGGGCTGTTCACCCTAGGGAAAGGGGTGCAGCGAAAACTTGGTCCAAAATGTAACACCCTTGATAAGACCTTAGACATACTTCCTTCCATTTAGGCAGATAGTTTGGTATGTGAGCCAGACCCTGAGAACATTCCTTTCCGCATCGCCTCAGTCTGACAGCCCGTAGCAAAACCAAGTAGGCTTTGTGTCAAGATGTGGTACATGTCAGAGAATGTGATGGTGCCTAATTTACTGAAATTGTTTTTTTTTTTTTTAATTTAAATGTTAGGTGCTTAAAACAGACTCTTTGCTAATCCAGAATGGAAACTAATTTATAATTTTACTTAATCTTGACTTTTTTTGGTGTGTCACTCATAACCCAAATCAGTCCACAGGAATTGAACGTCTGCGGTGGTTTTCATGTTGTGTTTGGCAACTATTTTCATTTTTAACTAGTCAATTAGCTGGATAGAAAGGTTAGAAGGAAAGAGGTGAGGATATGTCCCAGAAATCTCAAATCTATTTTGTGGGCTTAAACTTTTTTAGAGTTGAATCTATTCACAATGATTTTTGATTTAGATGGCAGGTTGGATGAAATCTTGAGATTCCTATCAATGCTATGATTATTGGCCTTGTGAAAGAACATTTAAAAGTGCCAAGGCTCAGAGTTTTAATAATAATTAATTCTTGCCACGATTCATTCATTTAGCAGTTATGTATTAAGGCACACATATCTTTGTTTTCCAGTAGTCCTTTTTCTGTGTTTCTTACTGTTTTTGGATTGAGTTTTTTTCATTGTCTGTTTTCTTTCATTTTTAAATCTTGCTATGTATTTGGGATTTTAAATTTTAAGTTATATTTTTAGTGATTATCCTTAAGCTTTTCCTATGAATGTTTAATTAATGAAGGACAAAGCTGAAGAAGATCTTAATGTATTCCTCCTCAACTTGAGTACTCTAACTTCAATGTTCCATCACTTCCCTGTTGATTTTATTGTCATCTAGTAGTTTATTTCTGTTTGTCTATTTCTCTATTTTCAAGTTTCTATGCTATTCCAGGCCCTGTGCTAGGCATTGGGGTAGGAAGTAAAGCAAATACATTCCCCAAGAGGCCCAAAGCACACAGATGATTGCATACAGAAGTGAGGTATTTGATCCATTATGCATGTCATAAAATGCATACATTCAGAGCTGCATATATATGAATATATGAACAATATGATTACTACTGATAGCAAGAATAATATTTAAAAAAATATAAGCCCTCACTATGATTGTAGATGTCCTACCTAAGTCCCTTATAATCTTAATTAAGGGTGGAAGACAAGAGATGTAGATAACATAGATTAAGAAAATGTGAGTATAGTATAAGAGAGAGATTGAGAATGTTTGGAAATATCAAATGTATTGCTATCTTCTGCAAGAGGGCAGCCCACTAATATCGCCGAATGGTCCCCATCCTTGTGAATGTTACATAAGAGGTCCAAAATCAGTCTATAACAAACCATACAGATTGTTGTAGGCATTCCACAGTTGGTCCTCTTAAATTAAATAGAGATGCACTTTTTAGTAAGTCTAGGGAATCTTTCAGGTCTGAGCCACCCCAGTTCAGTCTTCAGGGTAATATAAATGAATTGAAGTCCAGAACTGACAAAAAGTAAAATGTAATTAATTTACATTAAATCAGTGGGAAGAACCTCTCCATTACATTAACTGCTGACTGGTGACTGAATTCTTCACACTGAACCATTCCAGAACATTTGGCACTTTGTACCTGGGAATTCAAATCTCCTACAGAAGTGTAGACTTCACTCATAATGAAGCCTTAATGAGAATTTCATTTACATAACGTGTCACATGTACATTGTTTTCTTCTATGTATTTATCTCCTGGATTTTGTTCTCTACTTAATTTTATTTTTATTTGTCTGGACTGACTATGCGTTAATCTCCTAATATTTTATATATCTACTTATATATGATAATCATTTGGGGTTGACAGTTAAACACCATGGGTTAGCTAGTAGCATAAACTTATGTTTTGGGCCCTTGGTCTAACACTTGAGAATAGGACTCATTAACATTCTCTAAACAAACAAAACAAAAAATATGCAAAATCCTGCTGCAATCCCCTAAAAAATAAGGTCTCACCTTTTCTTGACTTTTCCTCTGTTTCCAATGATAGAATGTATCCTGAAAGCTTATGTTTATATGGCCTTTTCTAAAATGTACAGAGGCATGAAAATGATATTATTTACACCATTTATACCATTCTGAGGTTCCTTTCCTTTCTTGGCTGGAAATTTCATTGCATACTTCCAGAACTATTGCAAAATAAATCAAAAGCAGAATTGAGGTTTTGAGTCCCTGATTTCACCTGAATTGTGTTTCTATATATGAGTTGCTTCTTTAGAGATTATTATATCCTGCTAAAAACAGTAACATATTGATCTATATATCTATATCTATTTTTATATATAGATATGTATATATATTTAGAGACTATACACATTCATTTCATGAGCATCTCCAAAAACTACCTAGTATTTGGTTTTATATGTCATTCTATAGGTGTTATTTTTCTTTGGATTTCAGTGTGATTACAAATTGTTGTGGTTAGTCTTTCAGAGGCTGTTTTAAATACAGATCAGAGATGAAGTTCTCTTTGGAAGCTTTGGAGTTTTGCCACATAATATTAACTCTTTTGCCACAGTGTATTACTATCCAAGCCTCTTTTAATCTTTTAAAAGGATGCCTCAAAATCTGCTCTCCCAACTCTCTTTGCTATCACTAGAGAATGGAAATTACTGCCTTTCTGTAACAATTTCTCAGGAGCTGGGCCAAGGAGGGTGATAAAGAACAAAGTTCTTTGTGATGCAGAACATTTTGCAGATGTATCTTAAAGACCTTGAAATAACTGTGTGCTTTTTGTATTTTTCAGCTTGCTTTGACCAGATCAAGTTCTTTAGGTGACTTTTCCTGGTCTCAAAGGTAAAGAGATTGAATTGTTTTGGGGTCTCTCATGAAAATATCTAGGAACACAGCTCTCTAGACTGTTGATAACACTCACCCACACACAAACATACACACACACACACACACACACACGCCCCCTCACAGAGTCATACTACAATTTACATAAATGTCAGTGATTTTTTATTGTGACAGTTATTTTTAATGATAAACATGTACCAAATGTGATACTTTGATTTTCACCCCATTCTCTTTTTTAAATTTTTGTTGCAGAAAGCTTGTTACTGTGGAAAAGCAGGACAATGGAACATTTGGATTTGAAATTCAGGTGAGCAGTTTCTGAATTTTCTAGACTTCCAAGGATGAGAGTGGCACTGGTAAATGTCATGATCTGTGCAAAGGAAATAGAATGAAGTTAGGATCAGAGAATGACTGAGACTGTGACTTTTGTTCCCTGTATGTTGGTTTGGGGTATTTTTTCAGTGTGGTAAGTGCGCTCAAGGAAAGAAAACAATGAAGCTGATAAAATAAAACCCCTGAGATATGTTCAGCAGTTTGTGCTTAGTGGCTTCAGCCTTTCCTTAAGTCTGAGACTGATCAGAAATGCTTGATGTCAGCCAGGTCTTAGATAAGAGAGCAAAATAATTTTTACAGATGTGCATTTTATGCATTTACATTTTGGATGTGTTTTGCATAATCATGTTGTTACACTGTATATCAGATTTTAAATATTTACTTTGATATTCAGGAAACACTTGAAAGACTATACATCTGTGTATATGGAATGCATATATTCATGTATAGCTCCTATTACATTTTGATACTAAATATTTCATATTGGATAAATGAGAAATTTGTAGCTTTTTTTCACTATGGGCAACACTTTATAATTATTATTTGAAACACTTAAGAACATTTGGCTCTACTTGCAGATTGCCTCATGCTGTAGGAAATTTTTAACAGTCTTTATAGGTTTTAATGTAATTGCCTGGGAATTTCATTGCTTATTTGCTGTCTGCTTTTTCAAGACCGTGTTTGTAAAGAGGGTGAGTTAGGTCAAATGAAGTCTAGTACAATTAAGTGCAACAGTAGTAGCTTAAGTATTCTTGTTTTTTTTCCATAGTACTTTTGCATTTCTTTTGGATATGTTTTACATAATCATATTCTTACACTATACATCAGATTTTAGATCTTAGCTTTAGTGCTACTTTCAGAAAACTTTGGTGTGATATCAGCCTCACAAATGGAAAGTCAGTGTGTATTTTAAGATTAGGAACAGGAAGCTGCTAAGTAAAACATGTCTTATGAGTAAAGAAACAAAATGGAACTCTAGCTGCAATGAAGACAGAGAAGGCTGTAGGAGAAAAGAATATAGTTCTACTTTCTGAACTCTTTTATTTTAAATTGGGTGAAATCTATAACTCACCACAATAATTGGTGGCATCCATCAAGTTTTAGAAACAGAGTATTCTCTCTTTTCCCCCATTTACATGCAACACTTCCTATCACTCCCTATTCTGTTGTAGAGATACCGTTTTTTTGTGACTGCTTCTTTTTAAAGGGAAATTATCCTCCTCAAGGATGTGCAGCAGTTGCTACTGGAAAACAGGATAAATGACTACTCATTTATCTTTATTTTTCTCACTCTGCTACAATGTATGTTGCTGCTTCCTTACATTTCTCTCCTATACTGTAAACACTTATTCTACATGGATCAAGAGTTAAAATTATCATTAGTAGACTATATATCCCAGCACCACTGAGCCTTTGAAGATCAACATGAACTAAAGGCTAAAACGCTAAGTGGCGCCATGTATGTGTTAGCTCAGTGATGCAGAAACCCACACCCCTGTAGCTTTCCTCTGATATATGCTTCCCATTACCAGCTCATAATCTATTCCCTAGTACTTATAAGATTTGCAGCAACCAACAAATAGGGGGAATGCTTCTGGAAACTTTTTGAAGACCAGATAGAACCTTCATGTACCCATATTGAACACCCAGTGTGACTACGTATTTAAAGTCTGGAAGAATGACACTTTGAAAGAGAACAGATCCATCCTCCTTTCTGGTTTTCCATGGGTGCAAGTTTTATGCTGTTCCTGAGAATCATGCATCATGATAAAAACACAGATTTTTAGACTCATGCCCACCTGAGGTCATATTCTCTCAATTCCTGCCTTACGGAGTCCTTCAGAGTTTTAAATGAAATAACGCATGTCATGTACCTGGTAATGTGACTGGTACCAATAGAAGACCAACAGATGATAGATGTTAGCATGGAGTTCATCAGGCATGATAAAGGGCAAGGCAGTCTTTGTGTCTCTAAGAAATGCAAATGATCATTCTCTCACTGGTCCCTGTAATGGGAGCTAACAGACTATAATAGAGAAGTATCCAATAAATTATTTCTTTCTGTAACTTTGTCTTTCCATCTCTATTCCTGATCTCAAATTTTATACCCACTGTAAACATATATGCAAGTGCCAGCTGTATAAATCAACACATTTCCCTTGCACTGTTCTCACTTTGATCACTGGGGTCGAGGGTGGGGTCTCACCACTAATGAGAATTATTAGAACTGTGGTTTCCCCAGGGAATGTCACTTATATCTTTTGCTCATGTACCACATGAACTGGACCAGCCTTTCAGCTCTAGAAGGGTCTAGTCTGTAGCAAGAAGACTCCCATCAGGAAAGCTGTTAAAGGGATGACATAGATGGGAAATGTATTGCATGGTATTTTAAAGTCCTTTCTACCTTTAGATATGGGGGTTCTAAATGCCTTATAGATTGGATAGAAATCCCTTAGAGGTTAACAGACCCAAGTTTCTGGAAGTTGCTTGCACATGACTGATTTGTAGTTTTTCAGGGATTATCAAAGAAGAAGGAATGAACATCAGACATTAATTTATTCATAAGGAAACAGTACTGTAATGTGGCTTAATTTTAGGAATCAGATGTTTAAAAGACTCAACTCAGAGTGCTGATTTTGATTCTAAATGGAACTAGACTTCATAACTTAAATGTGTAAAAGAAAAATATATTTGTTATAGATCATTGGGATACTATATCTAGTAAACATTTATTCAGCGTTTTGCTACAATTAAAAAAATAAAAAACTTCACCACCACCAAACTACTTGTGCCAAATTGAGGCAAGAGGCGAAGATTAACTTTTTTTAATTTAGTTGGGTGACTAATGAACCGGTGAGAATTCAGGGCAGGCATACCAGAGAGTGCTCAGAAATGAAGGTAATTGAGTCAATTATAGTACTTTTGAATAAATGCAGGGCAGATTGTCATTATGTGCAGAACTCTGATTTAAAATAATCATAGTTGGCATGTCTCCCTTACTGGATGTGTACTGTTTCATACTCTTCTGTAATGAGTGTTTTAGCTTAGAAGAACCACTTAGGGATTTTTCTCTTTGCTCTTGGCCACCAACCATAGTTTTCCCCCATTTGGAAATGAGAAACTCAATTTTTAAAAGTAAATAGGTAATGATGGTAGCATCAGGTGCTTTCTTAGGCTTGGGAATATACAATCTTGAGCCATTCTCATCTCACTTTCTTTCTCATAACAGATGTTTTTTTATGAATGGGGCTGGCTACAAATTGTCTGGTGGAATTGCAAAATTGGTAACTTTGATTCAGTTTATAGTTAGAAAAGCCTTTCCAAATTGCCCTTTGCACTTACCTATTATACTTCTTAATGGTAATTGACGTAGTTTTCTTTTTTTAACAAATAGGTGTTGAGTTTTTTGAATAGTGACTGTGAATCACTTTAATTTTTACAGACTTACAGGCTCCCTAATCAGAACGCCTGCTTCTCGGAAATGTGCACTCTGATATGCAAAATACAGGAGGACAGCCCAGCTCACTGCGCTGGCCTGCAAGCTGGTAACTTGCAACTTTGCTTTGCTCATGTTAGGAATCATTTAAATAGTAAGAAAACTTTTTTATAGTAAAGTTCAGAATATGATTGTTGCTTTGAATTTTCTTAGCTCCTTTATACTTCTAAAATTTAGAACTCGCTTGTTTTGCTTCATTTGCAAATAAGTCAGGAGGGATTATTTAATGAATCGATGTAACATTCATTTTTCTTGGTGTCTCCCAGGTGATGTCCTTGCAAATATCAACGGCGTGAGCACAGAAGGCTTTACCCACAAACAAGTGGTTGACTTGATCAGATCGTCAGGAAACCTGCTAACGTAACTATTTGTCTAGTTCCCATGGGGCTTCAAAAATGTTATGCTCGCGCATAATGCCTGTTGAGTGAATGAATAGGCTTTTTGTTCAGAGATCACAAGAAAGGAGAAGGCAGCGCACCACAGCTTTGGGATTGGGCACAAACATTATCAGTTCCTTTTGTTTCTCAAGGTTCCTCAGACTTGAACATATTGTCAACATCCGAAGTCAGAGGACATCAATAGCACAAACGTCTGCGTGGGAGGGATAGCTTTTAAAAATGTATTTTTTATGTCAAATTCAATTAAACTGGCACACATTCTCTTTAAACCGAGAGGAACTGATCCAATTTCCATGGTTGATAAAATCTTGTAGCTAAAACAAATCAAAGGTCATAAGGGCTGAATTTTTTTCCCCCTCTTTTGCCACAAGCCACTTGTTTTTCTCCTCTAGTGTTCCATTTGCAAGGAACAACCAAGTCTGCTCAACCCTCGTGCACTGAAACACACATGCTCACACTGAAAATTCCAAATATTGCAAACTTATTAGTAGGACAGTGGTCTTCCCAATTAGATATTTGACTGACTTTTCTACCCTAACATTCCCAGCACCTAATAAGACCTTAATAAGTAGTTAAAACATGAAATCCACTTGTTCATTAAAATTATATATATTGAGCAAATACTATGTTTCCAGCTCTGTGATAGGCTTGGGAGAGACGAAGATAAAGACTCTCTTAGTGCTTTAATATAATAACTGTGGAAAGAAATGGCTGAGCAAAGCCCGGAAAAGAAGTGATTTTTATATGTCAGTTATTGATAGCTGCTATGAGGAAGGTAAACAGGACAATGGGATAGAGCATTGGGTAAGGAGGTGGCCAGCTTAGCTTAGATGTTTAAAGTGGTCCTTTTGAGGAGGTGAAATTTGAGTTGAGACTTAAATGAAGAGAAGGGATGGTCATATGAACTCCTGGCAAGAGCTTTAGGGTAAAAAGAGTCTCTGGGTTCTCAAAATGGGCTTGGGCACATCCAGGGTGTCAGAGAGAGTGAGCTGGTGCAGTTAGTAATTGGTGGATTAGGGAAAGTATATTAAAAATTGAAATCAGAGAGTCTGAAAGGGGGCTGACCAGGGGCCTCATCTACCATACCAAAAAGTTGAGGTTTTATCCTGATTGTGGCAGGTTCTGTATTACCCGGTTCCTTCTTGACAGCCACCTGTGGGGTTAATTTTGTTCCTATTTATAGATGAAGTGCCTGAGGTTTAAGGAGAGCTAAGTTAAGGTCACACAACTAGTACATGATAGCGCTGGGATTTGACCACCTGCTCTGGACCAGGATCTGTTCTCTTCAGCTACAGCTGCTCATTGTAAGCTGCCAATAGAAAATCTGCCAGATGCTCTTCCACGATTCTAGTCTAAAACTTTAAAGCATGTTTTGGGTGTGTGTATGAGTAGTTTTAAAAGATGGTGGTGGTAGAGGATTGAGTCCAGCTCTACTGGACTTTTGAGTTCAGGGTAAAGGAAAGGTACACTCTTGCTCCAGAGGAATCTGGACCCAGAAGGTTGGAACCATACAAAGTCCAAGAGGAAATGCTGGTTGTTAGAGTCAGACAGTAGGTTCTGCATGGGTAATGTGAGCAGACCACAGGTGAATAGGGGTGATAGGTGGAGATGATTGTTAGAAATTCAGAGATCATGAAAATGGGAGACAGTCTGTACAAATACAGAAGAGAATGGCCAATTGATGCTTGCAATTTTGCACATACACATCTATGGCTTGGGTAGGTCATACTGACACTGAGTCCCAATGAAATAGATTCATAATGATCCCCACTATTGCCCAGAGAGTCAAGACTGCCTTAATGGGAAAGCAGACAGAGTTTTGTCTAGCTATCAACTTGTTATCTCAGGCACGATGCTGTTAGAAATAGAGTAAAATTGCTCTCCACGTTTGATACTTGTTTCTTGCAACTTTATAAATAGAGTTACGGCTTAGTTATAAGAAGGAATTTGAACCAATACTTAAAAAATTGGTATGTGATTCATGAATGAAATATTTTATCATATTCAGATTGATGGTTTAGTAGTCAACATACAGGCCTTTAACTGGAGCACACAAAACAAATCAAATCACTCAAGATAGAACAAGTCTTTTATTTTTAGAAAGGTGTTTGGTGTAGGAAGAAAATAACACTGTTAAGTTGATAATTCTAGGATTAAAGTTTGTGAACTAGAGGTTCTGAGATGAAGGAGTCTTATGAAGGTTATTATCTAATAGTAGTTCTGGTTCTGTTTGTTCTAGTTCCAAAATTGTAAGGGCAATTTAAAGAGGTAAAGTCTCCCAGAATCCTAGAGTGGAAAGGATTTCTCCTTGTTTCAAGAGTCCATCCAGGTCTATGGGTCTTGTGAGTGTTGATTCCACTGTTGTGAAAATCCCTAGTGCCTATTGTTTTTGTTATTGTATCCCTTGTGTTTATCCTGGAATCTGGCACATAGTAGATGCCCAATAAATACTTACCAAATACATGCGATGATTTAGGCTGTCCTCACAAGAATAGATTTTAGTGGACAGCAATCATCATTGTAAATAGTGGCTTCTGTAAAATAACCTACAGTTTACAAAGTGACCAGGATATTTTCTTTCAGCCAACCTCTCAAGGGGAGTTTTTCTCCCCCATTTTCTTCTGTGAATGTTATCAGAAGATTTGGCCTAGGTCCAGATACTTGAAGTGCCACGAGGACTGTAACATTTATATTGCGTTTTTAGTATGTCTGTGCTCAAAGTGTAATACTCCATGAGTATGGTACTTGTTTAAATGAATCACTCATGTTATTCCCCCCCCCCCTTTTTTTTCTGAAAACAGGATAGAGACTCTTAATGGAACAATGATTCTCAAAAGAACAGAGCTTGAAGCAAAGCTGCAGGTTTTAAAGGTAATTTAATTTAATGCAATGAGGCACACGTTTCATCCTTGAATGTGTGAGTGATGAAATAAAGATCTATTTGAGGAATGGAGATAGCCCTTGAAGATGAAATGTCATCATGAATCTAAACTGCTGAATTACCAAGAGCCACACAATTACCTTTGGAGGAATATCAAATTCCATAAACCAATGTAAATCACTTTCTTCCTTCCTCCTTTTATGTGTCTATGAGGCTTAGAAAGGCAACAGGAAGGCACGCCACTTGAAGAACTCTTCATTTACTGCACCTGTGATCTCTCTTGATTTACATTTTGTTTGGGGGGAAAAAACCACCACCACAAAAAATCATCATTTCCCCAAGTGTTGCACAAAGGTGCTGGAGGGCTAGGAATTTTTGCTTTTTCATTGTCCTCATTCTGTGTCCTTCTCTTCTGTCTCATTCTTAAAACAAAGACTTTATCCCTCTAATCCTGTGGCTGTCCTTGAATCTGCTTCCATTGGCAAACACACTACCAACTTTGAAGGGGGAAAAAATTAGTTTCCAGGAGATAGTGTGCAATGGAGGATGTTCAGGGAAAACTCCCTGGAATGGCTCTTTGAAGTTCTTAAAAATCTCTGTTTTCTGGGCTGGTGAGTCATGAAGTCCAGACCCTCACTCATATGTATCTGAGTCAGAGCCCTGTAAACTCCTCTCCTGGTTCCAGGTGACCGCTTAGTCCCAGTGCTTCCCTCTGCATGGGAATGCAGTAGTATCAATTGTAGCAGAGATTCTATAACTTATTCTCAGCAGGTTATTTACTTAGACTTTGTTTAGAAATAGCTGCCATTTAGTTTTCTTCATAAAGTATGCACTTATTAATTATTGAGCCTAAGAGGGTGGATTTTATCTTGTGTTCTTCTCTTATATATTTATATTTTATCTTGAATACTTTTTTCCCCCACGTCCAATTCATCAACAAGCACTCCTTTCTCCTTCATCCACATTCCTTTTGATACTCTTGCCACTTTTTTTGAATCAATTTATAAAAGTCCTTGAAAAAAACTCTGCTCAAATTTTTGTAGAGATTGAATTGTATTTATAAAATAAATGAGAGTAATTGAAATCTTTATGGCATTCATTTTTCTCACTTTGAACACAGGATCTCAGTCTTTTTGTTCAGGTCTTTTATGTATATCAAAAATGCTTTGTACTTTTCTTCCTACATTTTTGTGTATCTTTTATTATATTTACTATGTACTTCCTAGTTTTTTTGCTGTAATAGATATGATCTTTTAAATTTTCATATGCTTATTATTATTGATTGCATGTAAATTTTTAAATCTAGTTTTGCTGAACTCGCTTTATTCTAATAATAATTTTGTAGATTCCCTATTTTCTATATAGACTTCATATTATCTGCAGGGCATAAAATTTTGCCCTTTTAGTCCAATCATTCAACCAATTTATTTTTCTTCTCTTATAGCATTGGCTAGGATTGTCAGTATATTATAAATAGTGATAGTCTTATTTTTGAATTTAAAGAGAAAATTTCTAGATTTTTGTCATTACATTTTTATAAGGAATAAATAGTGCTTCACATTATATTTAGGTTTTTAAAGCTGTCAAAATTAATTTGTATTTCCAAAGTAAGATAGTTTTGGTGAACATCTTTTATAAAAAGTTAAACTAATTTTTTCAGGCTTTTGTAGAAAAAAAAAGAAATATTGAAAATAACCTAAAGGTGTTACTTAAAATGAGTGAAAAAATAGCCTTATATTTCATAGAATAAAGTACTCACTTGCACAAAGCATTATTTCATGCTTCTAAGCAATTTCTATCTTTGAATATTTTCTCTATCTTTGAATGTTTTCTCCTTAAGTTTTAATTTACATACTTAACTGTTTTTTGTTAGCAATGAACATATATATTTTTCAATATCTCTGTCCTCTTCCAGAACATCCAGAGCACCATAACATGCTTTAAATTTCCATTTAAGACATATTCCTATTATTGCTTACTTTAGAGAATTTCATTAATTTTTAAAAACTACAAAATACAGGTTTTTGTTCTAAATAGCTGGTAGTAAACAAATACACAAACTGGTTCAGTTGTTACACTTGCTGTTGTTTCTTGGACTCTAGTTCTTATCTCAGGGTTTATTTACCTTCTTGCTATAGCACCTCCTTCAGTGAGGGTAAATAGGTCTTTCTTGAAAAATGTCTTTATTTTACTGCTACTATTGAAAGAGAGTTTTGCTAGGTAATTGAATTATTCTAAGTTGATGTTTTATTTCATTAGCTCTGTGAATATATTACTCCTTTAATATTTTTGTTTAGGAGAGAGCTCTTAATAGTTGTTTTTGGTAAGTAATCTATATTTTCTGGTAAAAGTTTTAAAGTTTTTCCTTTTCACATTTAGGTCCTTAACTCATCCAAAATTAATTTTTAACATAGTATGAGTGTGGGAAAAATTTCAATTTTATTTTTTGCACATGCAAACGTAATTCTCCTAGTACTATTTATTTTGTAATCTCTTTTTTCTCTCAGCTGACCTGAAGTGAAATCTCTCTCTTTTTTAAGCAAGTTCCATGTGGATTTTCCAACAGGCTCCCTATTATGATCTATTGGTCAATTTGTTTATCCCAAATTCAGTTTATAATAAATATTAGTATCTACTTGGGCAAGGTTATTCTTGGTCCTTTTTGGTCATTTGATCATCTATGCAAATTATAAAATCAGATTATCAAATTCCATATATAAACGCTGGAATTTTGATTGATATCACATTTTATATATATTGATCAATTGGAGACTTCACATCCATATGGTATTGAGTTTTTTTGGTGTATGACCTTACCATTTTTACTTGTTTTCTTTAAAGTATTTCAATAATGTCATATAATTTTATGTTATGGATCTTATACATTTTTTTTTAGAGTTGGTCCTTTGTACTTTATGTGTTTGTTCTTGTTGTTTCTTTATAAAAACAAAAGTTTTGACTGCTGATAATAGATATGTGAAATCAATTTTCCTTTGCTGTTACTACATTGAAACGCTATGCTAAACTATATCATTTCTAATAAATTATCTGTAGATAATTCTAGGTTTTATATAGATATAGATAACAGAAAACATCTGTTAAGAATGACTTTTGGTTCTCTTTCTTGCTTTACTGCACTGGTGACTAATTGTAGGCATCTTTGTTTTATTCTTGATTTTAAAGGGAATTCTTAATCTCTTTCTCATTAGAAATGAGCTATCTTTTAGGTTATGGAGGCTCTCATCTATACTCAGTTTGCTGGTAGTTTTTATAGGGCTTGTGTATTAAGTTTTATCAAATACTTCTTTTCTTCATCTTCCTATTTATTTTTAAAAATTTGTCAATAATGGTGAATGACATTTAAAGATTTTCTAATGTAAAGCCACCCTTTCATTTCTTAGGATAAACCCAACCTGATTTATCCTCGAAATTTATAGTCATTTTTATATACTTATTGGTTTGATTTGCTAATTTTTTAAAGAATTTTTGAAGGTAGTTTCATTTTATATGTAGACTAGTCTATAATCTTCACAGCTTATCTTCTTCAGCTTTGGTATGAAGTTTACTAGATTCAGCAAGAGCTGGAGACTGTCTTTCTCTTTTTGTTCTCTGGTAGAATTCTTGTAATACCAACTGAATCATCTAGACTTGGGGTTCTTTTTTGGTGGGAAACATTTCAGCTACTGTTTCAATTTCTTTATTAGTTGTAAGATTACTCAAGATTTCTTGGTTTGTTGGGTTTTCTTGGAGCTGCTTTTAGTTATGTTTTAGAGTTAATGTTTAATTTTATTGAATGATGTTGATAATAAAAATTGTATTCTGTTTTGAATCTTTGTCATAACTGTTATTATGTCCTCATTAACACCCATAGAAAGCTTATTATGCCTTTGCTTTTTCTTGATAATTTTTTCTACAGGATTTTCTATTTTTGAATCTTTAAAAAAACAAGTATTTGGATTTGTGGCAATCCTCTTTTTCCTGGTTGCTTTTAACATGTTCTTTTCTCTTTATTTATCTACAGTTTTACCACAGTGTTATGAGTTCTGGATTCATTTCTAAATTTAGAACTCATATCTAAAGACTTGGGATTTTCTTCAGTTTTGGAAAACTGTTAGCTTAATCTCTTTGAATATACCTTCCTCATCACTTCCTGCGTTATCTTCTAGAATTCCTACTAGATGTATTTTATAGTTTGTTTTTTTTTCTTTTTCTTTTCTTTTTTTTAATTTTTTTTGAGATAGAGTCTCACTCTGTTGCCCAGGCTAGAGTGCCATGGAGTCAGGCTAGCTCACAGCAACCTCAAACTCCTGGGCTCAAGCGATCCTCCTTCCTCACCCTCTCAAGTAGCTGGAACTACAGGTGCATGCCACTACACCCAGCTAATTTCTTTCTATTTTTAGTAGAGACAAGGTCTCACTCTTGCTCAGGCTGGTTTCGAATTTCTGACCTCAAGTGATCCTCCTGCCTCAGCCTCCCAGAGTGCTAGGATTACAGGTGTGAGTCACCACGGCTGGCTTAGAGTTTCTTGATTTATCTTCCATACTTCCTAACCACTCTTTCATATTTTATACCCCTTTATTTTTTGTGTTATATACTCTTTGAATTATTTAGTAATAGCTTCACTAATGTCCATGTTATCTTTGTTCTGTATAGAATGTGTTCTTTTTATTCAGTTTTTAAAGTTAGCTTATTTTTTATTGTCTAGTAGTTTCGTGTCTATTCTTGTTTTATTTCTTTGTTTCAAATTTCTTGTTCTTATAAATACTGATCTCATATATCTCTGAAAGATTACAAACATTCTTATTTAAAGTCTTCTTTGGACACTTTTATATTTTCATTTTGTTTGGAGAGAATCCAAGTACCAGTAATCAATTTTATTGTCTTTCTTATCATTAAACATCTGTGAGTATTTTTGAGTTTAGTTTACCTACTTCCCTGGAGTGACATATTAGCCTCTCCCTTCAGCCCGCTGTGATAATTAGACAATTGCCCCCACTCAGCACTTCAAGGATCCCAATTCGATCTGGGAGGCTTAGATGCCTTTCCTGAAGAGTCAGTGTGCTGCTTGGCTCAGGTTGTGAGTCTGTGCTCAGGTCCTCCTGCCTCTCTAGGTACAAGCTCCACCTGAGCTGTAGCCTGCAGCAGCACCTGCTTCTCTCAGCCTCCTTTGTCCAGAGGTGGAGTTTCACCCAACGTTCTTTTCTTAAGCAAAATCCTTGGTTCAGTCCCTTGCTTCAGATAGGCGCATTGAAACTACATATTGCCATAGGATCCAAATTCGTAACTTAACCTCCTTTCATTTCTGAACCATTTCTGATCTCAGAATCGTGAGATTTCCAGTTTATCTCTTGATTCAGAAATGCCCGGATCTGACCCATAACCAAGGTCAAGCAGGCTCCTCCTCCACACTGTGACATTTACTTTGTGACTACTCTGTCCCTCAAAGACTTCATGGGGCCAAAAGCTTTTCTCAGAACCAGTGGTCCTTTTTGAGCCACTTCCCTTTCTCTTGACCTATGATTCAAATGTTTAACATAAAAACAGCACATCCAATGGGCTGGCTGGGAGAGCTAGTTTTCAGTCTAGTTCTGCTATTTACTGGATTTGTAGCCCTTGGGAAACATTTTTGCCACATTGAATGTGTATTTTCTAATCTGTAACTTATTAGAGAAGTTAGGAAAATTTAATAGCATATTGTCTGTGAAAGCACAGTGAAAGTAATAAAGTGCTATGGAAATGTTTAACTGTGTGTCTCATGCCGAGAAAGCATTGGAAATATATCTGGAACCGGTTCAATGTGTGATGGTAGAGGGTTGTTTCAGGAAGCCATTCTTTCATGTATCCATTCAACCACTATTTACTGAGCAGCTGCTATATGTACCAGACACGGAGCTAGGCACAGGGAGGTGACACAGCCCAGGATGGTTAGATGTCACATAGGCTTTAATTCTCATCTAATGGTAAGAGTTTAGATTTGTCCAAATATACACTTGGGATGTCAGCAACAGAGGCAGAAACAGATGTTGAAGAAAATAGGGAAGTTTAGTTGCAGAATAAAAACTCCTAGTCATTTTGATACATCTGCTCTTTACACTGGTGTTTTCTTGGTTGAATTGACGACATACTTAAATCGCTGGGGCAAATCAACAAATAAGATATTTTAAAACCTTGATTTTTATAAAAATTAACTACTTGGCAAGCTGTGACTTTGTATTTTTGGATGTAAGTGCAGAAATATAACTTCCTGTTTTTTCTATATTTAGTTGTGACTGTCAACCTAGCCTTATGCTCTTCCACAGGACTCTATTCTCTTGTAGGAGATAAATGTCTATAAAAAAGACGAAGGAGGTTGGTGTATATGCCAGATTGTTGCTAGTCTGTAATCCCTGGGTCCCTATTTTTGACTTTCACATAGCCACAGGCTTATACAGATAACAAGAACTATGAATAAGGGAGCAATGCAGTCTTATAGACATTCTAGACTGGTGTAGTATAGAAAGAACAGAAATTGACTGAGCCACACATTGCTTTGATTTATCACATCCATAATAAGGATTGCTGTTAAATGTTACTATTACCAAGTCTTGGAAAATGCTTCCCAGTTGTTGTTCAGTCTTTGAAGACTGAGGAATGAGCCATGTTCCCCTTAAGCATTTAATGATGTTTTTGTAATTTTATTGCTTTCTTCCCCACAAGCTTTCCTCTCCCAAATATACATTTTTTCTGTCTTCCTTCTTAGCCTTCATCTACTCCTTCCATATTGCTTTGTACAAAGGACTGCTTGTTTCTAACTAGGCTGTCTTCCCTTTAGGATAAATGTCCACAGGCAAACCTGAGCTGTGCCCACTTGCTGGGCTTGGTGTAGGGACCTAGAATGGCAAAGGAAAAGGCGGAGGAGAGGACAGGGAACAGGAAGGAGAGTGAGCCAGTGACTGTGTCTTGCCAGATGTCTTCTATCTGGTTTGCTTTCAATTTCCATTGCCTCAGCCTCCCCTGAGGGCCAGGCCAGGCTTTGTGTATGATACAGCACCATACACTTCATTCCTACCACAGGGGGCTGCTCTCATGTGCTATTAAGAAGCACTTGCAAAGTCAGGGTGCTTAACAGGGTTCTAAGTTCAGCCCTCCCAGGAAGCATTTCAGATCAGGTCTGTTCTCCTTTTTGGTGTGGAACATAAACATATGTCCAGCAGCAGAAAAGATTGTGTTAGTGCCTCAGGCTTATAGGTTAATGATGATATTTATAGAGCATTTACTAAGTTCTAGTCACATTAACATTTAAAATATCAATTGAAAAACATAAACAAGAAACTTGTATGTAAGTTTCAAACACTTCTATTTAAAAACAAACGAACAAAACCTGCAACTCAAACATCTGGCCCATCCTGAACGGCCCAGTGGAGGTAGCAAGTCCCGGGTTCTGAACATTGTACACCTATTAATTCATTTAATCCTCATAACATTTTTGAGGTTTAGGTTTTATTATTGTCTTCAACTTGCAGATGGGGGAATCCTACAGTGTAAATCCTTTCCTAAACAGCAAGTAAGTTTTTACAAACACAAACAGTCTGGTTCTATTTTTTAAAATTAAAAATGTATATATTTCACTGTTTGTCTTTATTTTTAAAGGAAAACTTGTTGGTGCTACTAGGTTATTTCTTCAGAAAGTAGTATTCCCAATATCTTCCTTTTATATAGTAAAAATCTTTCAAATGAATGGGAGGACCAGAAAGAAAGGAAAAAACATATTAAGACAATTCTCAACCCACAGAATTAAATCACTAGCTTTACTGGGGTTTCCTAATAATTAGCACTTTTCTTCTTCTATCTCACAGCAAACCTTGAAGAAAAAATGGGTGGAGTTCAGATCTCTGCAGTTACAGGAACAGCGCCTGCTTCACGGTAAATGCAGTTTCCTGTTCAGAAACCACACTGGCATTTCAGCCTTTCAGTATTTCTGCCCCTAAGTTGCTCAAGATTATCATCGTTACAAGAAAAATTTGTCTATCACCAATCAAGGACACTGGTCTGTGTTTCTTTGGTGTGCACACCGTATATTTGGAGGAGGGGTAAATCAAGTCAGACCTCCTTCTCCATACACACATGGCACATATGCACGTGAAAACATGCACACACACGCATGCACACACTCCCAAGAGGCACCTGGAGATTTTAGAAGAGCAGTAGGAAAGATTACCTGACTTTCCTACTACTTCAGCAAACGAATTAAATTCCTGAAACTGAACACGACTCAGGGGCTCATTCCTAGAAGTTCCTAGAAGCTATTGAGGCTGGAATGGTTGTGCATTTCTTGGGTAGAGCTCCTATCATTTGTTCAAATTGTGCAGGTTAAGTTTAAGCAGAGAAATCCTTTTTCATGCCCCGCCCCCAAACAAAGAAAGAGATGTGTAAGATTATTATAACAGTGAACGCATAGCTCTTGCCATTGTGTATATACTGAAGGGAAGGTATGAGTTTAAACTTTGTTGATTTGCCATTTGCTGTGTGACTGGTGTAACCTGAAGAATGAACTTTTATGTACAAGTAATTCACTGAAACCACTAGTATGTGGGTTGAAACATAGGTTATGTCTTCGTTAGATAACACCAAGCTAAAGTCTCTATTTATAACCTAGAATATCTGTTCAATAAAGGTAATACTCCATTTGTTTACAGAAAAAGATGTAATTTAATTTTTAATTAGGCATTAATTTATGGCCTAGAGGTTTGAGTTGCAATTTAGTTTGTTTTTTTTTTAACTAGAAGTGTTTGAAATTTATGTACAAGTTTCTTGTCTTTGTCATGTTTTTCAGTTAATGTTTTTAAAAATTCATAATAAGATTTTTTCGAGGTCTCAAGTTTGTTAGAGAGACGGAGATACAAAAACTCTGTGGCTTTTAAAATTCAGCCACCTCCTAGTTTTCTGCAGATGTAGGGGTCTTTGAGAAACCTTCGTCTCCACTTCTGGAGCATCTGGAATAGCTCAGTGATTACCATAAGTCCAGAGGTTCTACAGGAATGGCCTTGTGTAGACAAAATCCTTAGGTCAGGATCTTCATAAGGTCACTGTTGTGCACATTTTTTGAGAGATTGTGGGAATTCTTTCATCTGCTTTTTCCAGATTTAGGGTAAACATTCAGTGCCCGAGATTCTACAAGGTGATTGCTCCCCAATCAAAAGAAATTCATCAGCTATTTGCAAGATGAAACAAAGTAGGCTGTATTATCAGAAAGGAAAGCATTATGACTAGTAATTGCAGGGCTGGCTACACGCAACCTTGCAAATCAAATGGAAAGACAGTCTCTTTTTATATTATCAAACAAGGGCAAAGGAGAGCAGCAGTAAAGATAATCACCACAAAACAAAACCATTTCCGAGCATGCAGTATTCTGTTACTTTTTCTGAAGCAGAGTCACCTTCTATTTATGTTTTTCTCCTGCCGATATCTTTATTTTATTTAGCAACATACTAACCAACTCAAGTAGTGAGGAAGCAGGTGGAGTACGGACAGGCTGTTGATGTGGTATTAACATTTGAGTTTGGAGAGCCAGGTGGAGGTTATTAAGAGTTGATGAAAAAAATCCAGCCAAGCAGATAAAATTCAATTTCTTCAAATAAATTATTTCTTATCAGAGGATAGAAATGCTTTCTGGGTACAATATCCTTCTAGAGCATTTAAGTATTCCAAATTAAAATTTGGAATATTGAGGCTAGAAGATATAGTTGCTTTAATTAACACCTGTCATAAACACCTTTAAATTCTCTGTTTTATAAATGTGTTTCCCATATACTTCAAATAATTTTATAATAATTTACAATTATTTAAAAAAGACAGTAACAATCAGAGGGACTAAATGGAGATAATTCATCAGACATCATTTCTCGGGTGTATTCCTTGGAGCCCCATATGTCTGAGAATTTTAATAAAAAGATTTCAGAGTCATTTAAGTTTCAGAAACAATTGTTTCATAGATTTAGAAGTCACACTGACATACTGTCAGTTGGGTTGAGTATTCTCCTATGAAGTATTTTGTTTAAATTTAGTCTAACATTATAATTTTTGTGACCATGGAATCTTTTCCTTGGAACTTAGTCCATGAACAAAAGTTTGGGAAACCCTACCATGAGGTTTATCAGATGGCTTCATAAATGGTCATGAGTTCACGTGAGTAAAAGCTTGGTGAAAAGTATCTTCCACCCTCATTCTTTCTTGTGTTCTTCAAAGAGAAATTTTGGTGTACTGTATTTGTTTGTCCCGAGTGATGCTCAGATCCATTCCACAGCAGACTTTGTTCTCTGTACTCCAGGTGATGCAGCTAACTGCTTGACTTTGGAAAACATGGACATGGAGGAATTGTCTTTGTATGGAACCCTTCCTGGTCCAGGCCCGGTACTTGTGGACCGGAATCGATTATCCAGCGAGAGCAGTTGTAAGAGCTGGCTGAGCTCCATGACGATGGACAGTGAAGATGGCTACCAGACGTGTATGTCTGAGGACTCCAGCAGGGGCGCCTTCAGCCGGCAGACGAGCACAGATGATGAGTGTTTCATCCGCAAGGATGGGGATGATTTTCTGAGGAGGTCTTCATCAAGGAGAGACCGGAGCATCAGCACCACCAGCAGTGGATCTATGTCTCCCTTGTGGGAAGGTAACTTCTCAAGCATGTTTGGGACCCTGCCTCGGAAGAGCAGAAAAGGAAGTGTCCGGAAGCAACTCTTGAAATTCATCCCTGGCCTTCACCGTGCTGTGGAAGAGGAAGAGAGTCGCTTTTGAGGGGTTGTGGTGCCCTTTCAAATTAGCTTATTTCACAAATATCTCTAGACTCATCTAGATCAACTCCACCCAGTTTAGCGGGAAAGTACAGATGGATTGCTTAACTGACATCTCATTTCACAGTAATAGTGACCTTTATTTAAATTTTTGCATCATTGTTTTTGCTTCTTAAGTCTTTTTTTAACCAGAACAGCTGTTCTAAGGAAACGTTAGGGAAATGAAGTAATAAGTTAGATAATATGACAAATTAATGCAATTACCACTCACTCTAATGCTGCCTGTGAAAGCAAGAGTAATATTTATTTTCTAGATTATTCATGTGGAAAATGGAGGACTTTTTGGAGTCATATGTAAATAAAGGAGTGACAAAATATAATAATCTGGGCTACCTTCCATAGGATAATTGGTAGGTTACAAAATCTTATGTTTGCTTAAGCTTAGTGCTCCTGGGAAGACTTAATAATAGGCAATTTTGAATGTTTCTGTTAAAATCTATGAACAGATTATAAACAAAGATGACCATCAGCCTTTTCTCACATCTATAGTGATGATAAAGCAGGAAGTAGTAGATTTATTAATATGAGGGGTTCAGCTTTATGAGAACCATGGAAAGATGTGGACTGAGATGGGTGCTGATGAAGATTATAATAAGGTCTCCTTAATAGGCAGTCTAAACAAAATCAGTAGAAATATCATTTGTCTTGCCTAATTTGACTTTTGTTTTGCCTAAACATTGATCCTAGAACTCTCAGGATCCTATAGCATTGTGATTATGATGATGATGACTCTTATTATTATCTTGCTACAAATGACTAAAAACCAAAAAGAAAGTTGGGAAAGGATTTTCCTCCTGTAGATTTTTTCACATTACTTCCTACTTTATATTGTATATTCCAAATAGTTACCACCCCAGCAGTATTTTGTCTTTTCTGTTGGTTATGTTAGTATCACATTATTTCTAGTTTAAATCACTCTATATTTTATTCAGTATCTATTAAAGTCCATGATTTTTCTGTTATGGTGATGTAAACTATATTCATTAAACTATATTCTAGAGTAGACAATTTGGACTATGTAATAAGTAGTCCTTACTGATTTTAAGGTGTGTGTGTGTGTGTGTGTATGTGTGTGTGTATGTGTGTGTGTTTGGGAGAAATACAAATTAGTTGACTTTGAGTAGAATTGCTACACTTAAGTAAATTTCTGATTAATCTAAAGAATGAATTATTTTGAGGAAAAAAGAGGCAGGATAAGGAAGGTTATAGGATAAGAAATAAGTAAAAATAAAATATAAAAAGATTTCTAGTTGGAACCTGCTTTCTGTCAGTTCTTTGAACTCAGAAGCATCCAGTGGACTTTGCGTGAGGGTTGTTCAGATGAAAGGCAGCGTGTGGCACCTTTCACAGAAACAACAGCAATCCTGTCTACCATTTCTGAATGCCTAGCAGGCTAACAGCACTTTACATGTGATCCCAACGGTAACCCTATAGCAGGTGGTTAGGCATACAGATAAGAAGGCAGGAATTTGGAGACATTCCCATGGTCACATGGCTAATCAGTGGCAGGCCTGAAATTGGAAGCCAGTTGTTCCTGGCTCTAGCCTATTCTCGTCTCTTTAGATATCGTTTACTCTTCTGTGATTACCACAGTGCTTTTTATTCCACCCAGCAGGATTACTTAAAATTTATAATTGTAGATACTGCATTGTCTTTGGTAAATAGGAAAACAAACATTTAAGGTGACTCTCTTGGCCTCCATAAGTAAGTTTTCAGATACAGGCACATTAATACCTGCATGGTTAGCAACACATTTATTTTCAAAAAGAGCTTGCAAACCAGTTATGATTTAACTGGTATTGCTTATTTCTCATGATGGTCTAGAATTGTCATGTTAAAGATCTGCTTGTGTGAATGCAGCATTTCCTGTTAATTCTATTGCACTAAGCCCAGGGGAAAGAAATACTATATTTGAAAGAAGATGACTTGAAGTTTTCTACAATGTGGGAAAATGCATTGAGAATGACCACAGATCCTGTGGGAAAGCAAACCATAGGTTATTTGCTTTTCTTGTGGCTTTAGTACAGAAGTGTAATACTTGCTCTATGATAGTAGACATCAAATGCACAAAAGAGGCAGGGAAGGGACAGAATAAGTATTACTGTAGTTTGCAATGAGAATTAGAATCAAGATTTAAATATGTTCGGGGAAAAAGAAAAACACTGGTTAACCAAGGTACAGGAAAGAAGGTCATGTTGATGTGCTCACAAGCTGTGAGAAAACTAGCATTTGTTTAGTGGAAATGTGGGTAAATTTCTCACAGCATAGCTTTTCAGGCTAAGTCTGACCTCAGTGGCTCTTTAGAAGAACCTTATGGTGCATAGTGACTCATTTTGATATAATTTACTGGGAAAAAATTGAAAAGTATTTTTTTTACCTGAAGTTGCCAAGTATGTAATATTGGTGAATTACATTAATTGACAGTTTGTTACAAAGATGCATTTTTCTAAAATGGCATTTGATAAATCAAATTTGAATCAAACATATTGGGAATTAGTTTATTATGTGGCTGAAGGGATGACAACATGTCAAACTTATTGGTAATACAGTTTTTGAAATGAATTTTTATTCATTACTTTATACTTTGCAATTCTTTTATATCTTAGGTGCATGATACAAACAGTATTTAAAATCCCAGTTTGAATTGAAGAAATCAAACTTGGAGACAGTTTGTATATATGGATCACAAAGTATAAGTATTTATGAATATATAGAGACTAAATATATTAAATAATATATAACTACATTGAGCCCTTCAGCTCATGAAACTATTGTTACTTTTTGTCTGTCTCCTTACAGAACTATGGGCTATAAAATCAAAATCTGATATCCATCTGAAATAAAGAATGCTGTTCTTCAGTGTCCAAACTTTCTCTCTCTCTCTTCTTCCCTTCCTACCTTTCTACCTTAAAAGAATTGATAGTTTTACAGCAGATTTTTTTAATCCTAGTCTCCTCTTGACACTTACTTCTTTGAGGCCCTTAAAAGGCACTACCTACTTAATTGAGGATTTGCACTAGTATTAGTTTTATATTGCTGTTTAACAAACTACTACAAACTTAGAAGCTTAAAACATATTTATTATCTCAAAGTTTCTGTGGGCCAGAGTCTGGGCACAGGTTAGCTGGGTCTGTTCAGGGTCTCACAAAGCTGCAATCAAGATGTTGCCCAGGGTTGCATTTTTGCCTGGCAGTTTGATTGGAAAAGGATCTACTTTTAAAAAGCTCCCTTAGGTGGTTGTCATTTTCTTGTGGCCATACAATTCATAGCAGCTTGCTTCTTCATAGGCAGCAATGGAGAGAAAAAGAAAGCCATAAGCAAGAGTCTTAAATAATGCAATGTAATCACTGGAGTGACTTCCATTACCTTTGCCATATAACATAACATAATCACTGGAGTGACTTCCCATCACCTTTGACACATTCTGTTTGCTAGAAACAAGTCACAGGTCCCACTCATACTAAAGATGCAGGGATGACATGAAGGCTTGGACATTAGGAGATGAGGGTCAGGGCATCATCTTAGAGTCTGTTTGTAACACCATTCAAGGATTTCGCAAACTGGATAATACATAAAGATACTGAGTTGTTTCTAAACCCCTTTGAGTAAAAATAAATGGTGACTGTTAACCACTGTTCTTTTTGTATAAAGAAATGGCAGCATTAAAGAATTTTGGAATTAGACAACCTGGCCAAGATTGTATATCTAGCCAAAAATCTGAGTGAGAAACTAAATCCAAGTCTATTATTGACCTCCCAACTTTTTTCCAAGGTGCATGGAATGATAAAAGAAGATTTGAAAGATTTGAAAAGAATATTAGAGAATGAACTAGTTACTTGCTTTTAAATTCTACTCAGGGAATCTGAATGTACTTAAGTGAATTTGGTGACTTTGTCATTTCTAGGCAGCTGCATCTTTATGAGAAGAGGACAGGAGGAACTCCACAGAAAAATAAACAGAACACTTACCATCAAAACTACAAAGCACAAAAGTCAGGAGATATCACACAACAAAAATCAGAACTCTAGGAAAATAAGCAGTTTGAAAGACTATAAAACATATATATCTTAGGAATAGAGGACAACTCCCCCAACTTGATAAAGATCATCTACAAAAAACCTACAGGTAGTATCATAATGCTGGGAAACTGGATGCTTTCCTCCTAATAGTAGTCTCAAAGCAAAAATGTCTTCTCTCACGACTCATATTCAACATTGCGCTGAAAATCTTAGCTAGTGTAATAAGAGAAGTAAAGAAAATAGTATACAAATGGTTAGGGAGGAAAGGAACTTTTGGTTGTTCGTTTTTTTTTTTGGAAATTCTTTAGGATTCACCACCTTATTAAAAAAATCCTGAAATTAGTAAGTGGCTATAGCAAGGCCACAGCAAGGCCACTGAATCTAAAGATTTAGTGCAATCCCAATAAAAATTCCAGCAAGCTATTTTATAGACAGTAACAAATTGATTTTAAAATTTGTATGGAAAGGAATAGACTTAACATAGCCGTGATAATACTGAAGAAGAAGAAAGAACAAATTTGGAGGAATTGCAATACCCTATTTCCAGACTTTCTATAAATCTATAGCAATCAATACAGCATGGTATTGGCAAAAGAATAGACCTATAAAATCAGTGGAACAGAATAAAGTACCTAGACATAGACACACACAAATATAGTCAATCTATTTTTGGCAAAGGAATAAAGTCAATTAAATGGAAAAAGGATAATCTTTTCAACAAATATTAATAGTTGTGGAACTTATGCACGATTGTATATGTTTCAGAGAAGTTAATTCAAAATGGATCATAGACAAAGATGTAAAACGAAATTCTCTAAGACAACATAGGGGAAAGTCTAGATTTTTTTGGGGTTGGTAATGAGTTTTTATTTATTTTATTTTATTTTTTTTTAGAAATAAGTTTTACAAATTTTAACTTTTCTTTCTATTTTTAGTAGAGACAAGGTCTCACTCTTGCTCTGGCTGGTCTCAAACTCCTTACCTCAAGCGATCCTCCTGCCTTGGCCTCCCAGAGTGCTAGGATTATAGGCATAAGCCATTGTGCCTGGCCCGTGATGAGTTTTTAGATAGATCAAAAGGTTGATATATGAAAGAAAAGTTGATAAGTTTGACTTTATTAAAATTAAAAACTTCTGCTTTGCAAAAGACACTGTTAAGAGAATCAAAAGGCAAGGCATAGACTGTGAGAAAATGCGGAAAACAAACTGTGGTACATCCATACAATGCACTATTTATTATTCAGCTATAAAAAGCAATCTATTGAGGCATGAAAAGATATGAATCTTAAATGCATGTTACTAAGTGAAAGAAGCTAATCTGAAAACGCCACAAACTGTATGATTCCATTCATATGATATTATGGAAGAGGCAATGCTATGGCAGCAAAGATATCAGTAGTTGCCAGGGGTTAAGAGTGGGAGGAGGACACAGAGAGGGTTGAATAGGAGGAGCACTGGTGAGTTTTATATAGTGATGAAACTATCCTGTGATGTTGTAATTGCGGATACATGACTGTATGCATTTGTCAAAACCCATAGAACATCACAACACAAGGTGTTATCCTTAATAGATTCAAATTAACAAAACCCCATTTAGGAAGTTGAGGGATCCCAGAATGAAATGAAGCATGTGACAAAAGCAATCTAATTGTATTACAAATGTATAAAACAACCTATTTTAGAGGGCGGAAGAAAAGCTGCTGACCCAAGTCACTTTGAGACTGACTGGAGTCTGTAAAACTAAATGCAAAATAAACCACACATAAACATTCTACTCTAGTGGAAAAACATGCTTTCCATGTGAATAGTGATTAATAATTCTGCTACCACTATGAATATATACAGGAATTGAAGAATTAATAGATAAGTGGCTGATGATGGGAGCTGTATTTCTCACTGTTGGACTAGGAGTTTACAGATAAGCAAGAAAGGATGCATGTGGTAACGGGTTAGAGTTGGAGATGTCGTCGGTATGTACTCAATATTAGCTTAATAAGGATACAGATGATTACATATGTGTTAATAAA